GAAGACTAAATCAACCCATTCATGGAGTCTACAGACAACGCCCCTTCTAAATTTGTTGTGTGGAGATTTGTATGCTGTGATACAATACGAATCCCATTAAGAGTAACCAACAGCCAAAGACAATATTTAATGGTTGTGATTCAAGATGCAATCCAACCCATTTGAAGGGGAACAAATTGGAGGAGATTGCTCTAGGCAAGATCATTTTTACACTCTTTCCAAACAAAACCTCCTTAATATGAATTTTAGCAACCGCCTTTTCCAGCCTGATGTAACAAAATCATTAAAACTCCTAAAATTACCAGTGTCCTGTTCCTACTAGACACCAGCTGGGAGAGCAAGTTTATAAGATCAAATAATATACGCTAATATTCAGTTTAGTAAAATAATAGCAAAATCATTTAAAAATGAATATATCTATTCATTTTAGAGATTAGTAAGTGAGATCTAGTATAAATTAAGGCACAACCATGCAGTCCTCCTGCAATAAGATATTCTGAAAATTGAGGCCATTATAGAAAAGGCCCAGGGTCTTATGATCAACATTGTAAAAGTCTATTAAAGTAGCCATATAAACAGAGCCTCTATAGCTTGAAAGGAAGTTCATATAAGTACAGACATATTATTATATTGATAGCTCTCTTGTTAAATATCTATTGTATTATATTGTATTGTCAGAGTTGTAGTAAAAGTGCTTGATTAGAGGCAGAAAATGTTTAAAACCTAAACTTCTTTATTGTTCTAGGCTTTGCGAAACTTTAAGTTAACTGTTGCTGTGGACCCCAAATACCATCCTAAAATCATTGGCAGAAAAGGGGCAGTGATCACTCAAATCCGCACAGAACATGATGTGACTATACAATTCCCAGACAAGGATGATGAATCTCAGGTGAAGAACTGGGTATGGAAGAAAGGATGAGAACCTATCAAAAAAAAAATTGTTTTGTCTTGTTTAGCATATAGTTATGTTACCTAGTCTGTTCCCATTGCTGTCTCCACAGTAGGACTTTTCAGACATTTTGCTTGTATTGTTTGCTACCAACTTGAAGAGCCTAGCATTAATGATCAACATTTCCTCCCTTAGGCCCAGGATCAGATTATCATAACAGGCTATGAGAAAAATACTGAATCTGCACGAGATGCCATCATGAAGATTGTTGGTGAACTGGAGCAGATGATATCTGAAGACATCACCCTAGACCATCGTGTTCATGCCCGCATTATTGGAGCACGTGGGAAAGCTATCCGCAAAATTATGGATGAATTCAAGGTGATTAAAACATTGTGCCATCTGGTAAATGACTAGAAATCAGTTTATCAATAAAGTTGTTTGGATTTTTTGCTTCAGCAGATGAATGAGAATCAAACAGAAACAAATTGATTGAATAAAGAAAAGCAAGATCATATACTGACCCTGGTGGTGTATAAGGAACTTCTGTGTTGCATCTTTCCATCCTTAGTTTCCAGAATAACACTGAATGTGATCTGAATACTATTCAAAGCACAGCAGACATGGTTCTAATGATTCATACAGATTCCCTATAAATATGGCATTATTTGTTGATTTAAATGTTCTTTGAGAAACCAAACAATTTCAATTGCTCCTTGCATTCTGTAACCATATTAGTCACATAATCATTTTGGGGTATAAAACTTCAAGGGAAATGGGCAAAAGAGGCAAATATATCAGGGTACCATATCTGAGATAATTTTTGTCTCTCCAGGTGGATATACGTTTTCCTCAAAGTGGAGCTGCTGATCCCAACTGCGTGACTGTGATTGGACTCCCTGACAATGTGGAGGAAGCCATTGATCATATTCTGAATCTGGAGGAGGAATATGTATGTGTATTACTTAATTAGATGGATTCAAAATATTATAAAGGAGAATTATTCTGTACAACATTACCCTCTTGTGTTTGTGTATATATTCTGCTAACTGAGCTGTGCATTTGTTTGGCATTGCAGTTGGCTGATGTAGTAGATAATGAGGCAATGCAAGTCTACATGAAGCCACCTGGTCATGAAGAAGCTAAGGGTGCATCAAAGGGATTTGTGGTTAGAGATGCCCCGTGGACAGCAGGCAATACTGAGAAGGTAGGAGCTGTTTATGTTCTGAACTTTTCTTGGGCTGAAGAAGACATTGGGACTCACCTGAGTCTTCCAGCCTCTATGAAAGCCAAGGCAAGGTAAGATGATGAGAGAGAATCCTCTTCCACCATGTCTGTTGTTAATTTAACACAATAGCAGAGTTGGAAGGGACCTTGGAGGTCTTCTAGTCCAACCCCCTGCTCAGGCAAGAAATTCTATACCTGTGCTGGCGAACCTATGGCACACATGCCACAGGTGGCATGCAGAGCCCTCTCTGTGGGCACGCGCACCGTCGCCCCAGTCCTAGGCCTTCAGCTGGGTTTTATAAAACCTTTTCGCTTTAGGCCTCCGCCACCATGTGCAAAAAAAAAAGGGTTCAATCAATCAATCAATTTCAACTTCTCATGGGAAGAAAAAAGATCTCGCAAAGTTGGAATTGATTGATTGAACTTTTTAGTCCCACCCAGTCTGCCGTTACCACCGCAGCCATGCCCACCCAATGGGCCACGCCCACCCAATGGGCCATGTCCACCCGGCACCTGACGATGCATAAGTGGGTTTTGGGTTGCAGTTTGGGCACTCAGTCTCTAAAAGGTTTGCCATCACTGTCCTATATCATTTCAGACAAATGGTTGTCTAATCTGTTCTTAAAACTTCTTGCTTGAGCATTCAGATTTTTAGTATTTTTCTTGTTATATTTTTAATAGTATGTATTTTATTTACTTTTATTCTTTCCAAAAACATTCATTTATTTTCATTTTGACTCTCATAAGCATAGTATATAGACTAGTATAAAATATTAGTCAATGACTAATAAAGATGTTATAAATGTTGGTTTAATACACCCACATTTATAGTGGGGACTTAAGACCTGTATGGGTTGAACATAAAAACACAATGGCCTGTGGGCATGAAATTTATATCTGACATCTGAAAAAAATCATTCCAAATTTTGGAAGATATAAACTCTTTTTCAATAGCCCACTAATTCCATTTACATTGATTTGGCACTGATAGGGAGAGAATAAGCTACATTTTTTCAGCTATTGCTGTACATGACCTGCATATTTTTTTTCTTCTGTCCTGCACACAAGAGCATTTGAAATATTACAGTCTCAGTAGTAAATTGTAGAAAATTGTGAAGCATGATTCATTTTTTGACTCTTTGTAGTATGGGTATGATGCAGACTGCTGAATATAATTTTGAGTCCAATGAGTATTTGTTGTTTTAGGTTTTTATTAGTTGGAATTACTTTTGCAATATCTGCATTGTCTATACAGTAATATAGTATCTGAATTACTGATGTCTTTTCAATAATTCAGTGGTTTGATTTTTGCAAAAGTGAAATTACTCTTATAGTTATTAATCAAACATTAGTATCTGTACAAATTATATCCTTCCTTTTTATTTCCCTGCAGGCCCCGGATATGAGCAGTTCTGAAGATTTTCCAAGTTTTGGAGCTCAGGTGGCTCCCAAGACTCTGCCATGGGGTCCCAAGCGATAATAACATGAAAGTCGCAATCTTATCCAGCCATTTGCCACAAAAAAAAATATTTCCTGAATTCTGCCCTGCTGGCTGGATCTAGTGAAGATTGTTAATGAGGGGTCTCTTAATGAAACTAGAGTGCTTACTCCCTCTGTTATCCTTATACTCAGGCCTCGCTATGCTTCTGTTTGCCATTTTTTCTTCCCCTTGATCTGGAACAAAACTTTCCATATTAATTGCAACCAAAAATATATTCAGTTTTTCTTTCAAATTTCAGCCTATCATGTGGGTCATTGTGTTGTATCAAGCCTCCCAAGCACGTTATATAAAGCACTCTAACCCCCATTAGGAGATCACCTTACTGCATCTAGGAATATACTTCCTGTCTCTCAACCTCAGGAAACACATTTCCTTGACTTTCTAAAAGCCAAAATATTTGCTCTTCCCCTTCCTGCCGTTTTTCCAAGGCCTTACCTTTGTAGTGTGCAATTAGTTTTTCCTTTTCACTGCTAGCCTCTCCTCTCCCCCCCCCCCAATTGTCCATCTAATTCCACTGTTGGTAAGATAATGAATCTTACCTGAGAGAGCAATGGTTTGTCCTGGAGTTTGAGACACCAGAAAGCACTAACAGGGTCACAGTCCTTGTCGTGCTAATTTGCAGCACTAAGGGTACAAACATTCTTCTTTCACTGGGGTGAGTACTGAATTGCAACTCATCATCAGTTTTTCCCCCTTCACTTTTTTGCATTATCCTTCCTTTCCAACTGTAGTATGGCTAAACAGAGCCGGAAAACTGACAGTATTATTGGATCTAAGAAAACTTGGTTCAACCAAAAGTGCCATGTTAGCATGACACAAAGGATGTTGGGTGACTAGTGCAGTGTTAAGAGTGCATTGCCCTTTTCCCCCTAGTTTGATAGTGGTGGCATTTAAGTACCAGGGTTAAGGTGTGTCTTTTGCTTTTTACTATTGCCTTCTTTCTACCTCAAGCCAGTATGACAGTGGCCTGCTTCTTCAGATAGCTCCTTTTGCTTCCTGATATCATGATTATTGTTCCTCTATGAGAAGAGGAATATATGTGTGTGGCTTTAGCTATGTATGTGACAGTTAGTTTCTCCGCTGGCAAAGATGATCTTAACTGTTGCCACATAATTTGGCCTCTCGTCTCGCAACAAAGATTAAGCCTTGGAGGAGGTAGGTGAGGAGTGGCTTTCACTTAAATTGAAGAATTTGATTGCAGTTCATTCTTAAAGATGGCCAGCGGTAGGAGTGGGAGATTAGACCTATATTCAGCAAAAGCCTTCTGTAGTTGGCAACAAGTGTTTGTCCTGTTGTCTTGACACCAGTAGTTGCTGCACTCTAGCTGCTACCATAAACTGATACAAGGCTGCTTGTATTTTAAAGTTGCTCTTCTAGCCACAATTCTCTTTTCTGCTGAAGGTGCTGGCGGCAGCGCTGGGTCTGTTGCCAACTTTGCTCTCTGTCTTTCCTGCTCTCTTCTGAAGAGCTTTTCTGAGCCATTTGTATCTTTCCCCAAGGTCCTTTGTGTCCCAGAATATATGCTGAGAAATGGTTTATAAAGCATCTAGCTTTTTAGTCCAGTAGAAAAGAGAAAAAAAGCCCTCTCTGTTTAAATAAACTTAAGTGAAAGAAGGAGAAATTGTTTCTCTAGGATGGTTCCACTTGGGACAGGAGAAGCCCTATCACTATCTGAGCAGGAGTCTAAAACAGGGTAGAAGTATTAATGCCTTGCCAGTGGGACCTGGTGTTTGAATGTCACACATCACTTGCACATGTGTTTTGGGCTTAACTGCCATTGAGCATGGCTCTAATGTTGCCGTCTGTTCAAATTGTTGAAAATACTTCACTCTTCTGTCCCATGTAGTGTGCAGCAGTTGATCTGTGGAGATGTGCTCCATGTTCTCTTAATGTCTTCCATATTACGTTTCCATGGCAATGATCCCTTGGCCTTAACTTTGGAATTTGGAGATTATATGCAAATGTGTATAAAGGCTCATGAGTATGGATGACACTGGAATTTTATAAATTCTAAAAAATAAAACCTGAAACAGCTTTGTGTGTTTTTATTTTAAAAAAAGTCACTCCAAATTACAATTCCTATCTATCCTGTTAATAAAATATATACCCCTGCTTCTCTATTGTTCCAAATAGTAATAAGCAAATTTATACCTATTTCACCTGCTTATTCAATTTTTGCCAGCAGGCATATTGATTAAGCATAATAAAGATTACAAGTTCATGGTACATGCATATTGTTGAAACATATTCCAGCTGAAAGAGACTTGGATGTGAAGAAGATGATTACTATCCCATGTTGCTTTTGTAGGCAAAACCCCCTTTTGGATAGCTGAAAGCAAGTTTCTTTTTATAATTGACTTTATATATGGCAGTAATCTTTAGCATATGACTTTAGCATATGCTTCAAAAAAGCAAACCAGTATGAGCTATTCTAGTGTTGCAGATTCCTATTATTTGGAAAATGATTGCCTCTAAACCCAGAGATTCCTATACTATCATAAAAAACAGCTTGTTGAATTTCACTACATTTAGAAGTCACTTCTGTGGTAGGAGAGAAACAGATTGAAAATTCTTATTTATGTCTTGTAATTTTCTCTGTACTGTTTTTCTCCAAGAAACATGAAATCACTACTTTGGTAAATATGGATGAAATTTCTGAGGGTTTAAAGATGTGAGGCATATTCTACACCTGCAATATGTTACATAATTAACAGCTCCATGTCCATACTGTGTCAGCTAACATTGTACTTCCTCTATGAAGGTTACTCTTGTGTAGAAGCTTGATTATCTGATCTCAGCCAAATCCTTCCAGATCTTCAGATGTTTATTTTGATACCTTCTCCCCAGGCTGGGTTGGATTGACAACATCTATCACTTCAATGAGAGCCTGTCCCAAAAAGAAAAAGAAATGTCTAATACATTTTTCCACCAAAGAGAATGTAGCTGAGGGAGGTTATCAAAGAAATATACATGACCATTATAATACACACAAAACTAAGTCTATTATTCAAATTCTGTTTTATACAGTGACATGCATATCTGACAGGACCCAATCTCGTTTTAGCCATTATTTTCTTAGTTTGTCACATTGAAAATTGCTTGTTCAGTTGTACCTAAATATAACTGCATGCGAGTTATACAAAGGCTTAGAATTTGCAGTTTAAGCATTTCCCACATTTAGTTTATGGCAGTGTTTCCCAAACTTGACAATTTTAAGGCATGTGGACTTCAACTCCCAGAATTCCACAGCCAGCGTTGCTGGCTGTGGAATTCTGGGAGTTGAAGTCCTCATGCCTTAAAATTGTCAAGTTTGGGAAACACTGGTTTATGGTGACAAATATCACCAAAATTGACTTCGCCAATATTATTTTTCAGGCTAAATAGTAATTCAGTTTTGGAAAACAAAACTGTTCATAATCAAAAGTTTGAACGGGAAAAAACAGGCAAAGGTTGAAGCTTTGATCTGTAAACACTTAAAATAATGTTATCGTAATTGTTTTGTTGGTTGGGCCTCACTGAGAGCAAATTATGATTAATTCTCCATGTTGGAAACTGTTAAAATGCAGGAAATATAACAAATTAGTTTCAAAAAATACAAATATATAATTTTTTAAAAAATAGCAAAAAATTATTAACTTGACATCATGACTAAATGCTGTAGTCTGAAAAGTAGTGATGGAGCTAATTTGATTGCGTCCTTTAGTTTTCTACTGTAGATTCTTAGTAATTGAAAAATACATACATGAGCAACAATATAACATAAGTATCTTAAGACCTTTATTGATTTGTTTGTATTTCATGTTGTAGATCACCCATCTCCCTCAGGGCCTCCGGTAATTCAGTAAAGGCAAATGTAGAAAGTACGCTAAGGTTATGCCTTAGCACAGGCATGTAAATGGACGTGCCAGGCTTTGCAATTTCTGTTCCAAAAATTGATACTCATCTGGTTGTGGGAAGGTGGATGTTATTGGATAAAATATTTTAACAAGGCTCATCACAGGCAAATTATTCCTTAATATTTCTGCCATTCCAGAAAATGTAAAAAAGCTCTCACCAAAAAGGATGTTGAATGTTGGATTGTTTAATGTATGCAAATATTTGGACCAACATTGTATAAATAGTGAGTCTACCTAATGAATGAAGGATTAACTATCAGATAATGTAATAGTTTGGTGGTTTGATGGCTAGTGTGAATAGTTAGTATCCTGGAAATAAGGAATTTCCTGACGGAGAGAGATTAATTTCTGGAACAGCTTGCTTCCTGGAGCTGTGGTGCTCCATTGCTGGAGGTTTTCAGGAAAAGATTGTACAATCATTTGTCTAGGATGGTATAAGGCAGGGGTAGGCAACCTTGGCTCTTTTATGACTCGTGTACTTCAACTCCCAGAATTCCTGAGCCAGCCATGCTGAGGGGAAAGGGAGAGGTTTCCAAGCTGAGCCATGCTGGCTGAACAATTCTGGGAGTTGAAGTCTACAAGTCATAAAAGAGCCAAGATTGCCTACCCCTGGTATAAGGACTCCTGCCTTGGGCAGTGGGTTGGACTAGAAAACCTCGAAAGTCCCTTCCTTTCAGCCCTATGATTCTATTAATTTTTGGGGAGCAATTTTCTATGAAATTGTAATTAAGGCCTGTGTCAGGAGCAATCTGAAGGGGAGAAGAAAATAATACTCTTTCATAGACTACAAGGTTGTTTTATTGAGAAAGGGAAGAAAAATGGACTTCGATGAAAAGGAACTGAAGTCCTAATTTTTATTAGTGAATCTATATTTTAGCCTTTGACCAGTGTAAGGAAAGACAAAAAACAACCTAAACTATATAACTTTAGGAACAACCTGTTTTTTAAAAGACATAAAAATGATAAATTACAGAGTAATAGCATGAATATGACTGTAAAACCAAAATCTCCAGATTGCTATATAATTTTTAAAATGTAATTAAAATAAACCATGACAATAAATACGGTAAAGAAATGTATATATTGTCTATGGAGATTCTCAATGATCCAGGTCATGGTTGGGCCAAAGGTGCTTTTTCAAGAGGCAATTGGACTTCCTTGTTTTTCTCTGAAGACGTTTCACTTCTCTAAGAAACCTCTTCAGCTCAGTTTGAAAATGTATAAATTGTTACAAAGATAGTAGGAAGTTTTCATCAATGGAAATGTGAGGGTTCACATAAGTCATTTTAACCCTCCATGTTTATTTTATGTTATTAAAGTGTTCTTGGTAACTTGACCTAAGGAAGGGAAATGGAGAAGGAAGAACCCAAGAGATAATTAATTTTGCATACAAAGTTTACTACTCAATACTTGTAGTTTCATCTAATTTAATACAAAAATTACTTTTTCCTAAAAGAAATTGGAAGATACAGTACAGGTAGTCCTTGACTTACAACAGTTCACTTAGTGACCATTCGAAGTTACAACAGCATCAAAAAAGTGACTTATAACCATTTTCCACACTTATGACCATTGTGGCATCCCCATGGTCCCATGATCAAAATTCAGATGCTTGGCAATTGACTCATATTTATGACAGTTGCAATGTTCTGGGATCAGTGATCACCATTTGCAACCTTCTGACAAAGGCAATGGGGAAACCAGATTCACTTAACAACCACGTTACTCATTTAACAACTGCAGTGATTCACTTAACTGTGGCAAGAAAAGTCATAAAATGGGGCAAAACTCACTTAACAAATGTCTCACTTAGCCTAAGAAATGTTGGGCTCAATTGTAGTCATAAGTCAAGGACTACCTGTATAGAAAACAATTACCCATAAAAGTACCGTGATCTTAAGCAATTTGTGTCTTGTTTTTCAAAGAAAATGTCTTCATTTTCCTAATAATGGAAGATTTACCTTATTCTCAGCCAAGGCTTGTTTAGCAAGGTACTGTTCTCGCTTTACTTTTATTGCCACTGCTTCTGGGATGTCAGGTACCATCATATCAATCATACGTGCAATGAAGAAAACTACATGCTAGGAAAGAGGTAAAAGAAAGAAAGTTGGAAGAATTGTGAATGGTCAGCAGGCTGGGCAGAATATAAATGGAAACGTTATGGATATTGAATTATAATGACCCCAATTAGATAAGATATTATGCAGAAAGTTTATGATTTTCCATTAAGCCAGAGAATGTGAAAATTGACAGATGTCTCCCTAGAAAACAATCGTGAACTTTAGATTGCCTGCCTTCTTCTTGGTTTGGCCATTTTTGATGATGGTTCTTTTTTAATGTGAAAACATGATACCGTGGATGTGCATTCTCTCCATATCACCAATTTTCCTTCCAAAAATTTACAGAATTTCTGGCATTGATGAACCTGTAATACTTCTATCACTAAGACAAAATTTTAGTGCTATTTCCTTTCCAATAGCATAACTTGTACCATAATTTTGATGTATTTTATGGCCAAATAATTTTCTTTAGTTTCAGAACAGCACAATTTTTCTTCAAACTATCTAAACTATGCAGGATGATTCATTTTTAACATACTAATGCTAACACAAGGGAGAAATACTAGAAATAGGATTTTTAAATATGCTAAATTTTGCAATGGCCAATATAAGATCTCTAAGAAATATGTTTATGGAAAATAGCATCCTGAAATGCAATATACCTCAAATACAATGATGAAGCCAAGTCGGATTGCCAGTAGATTCCAATAAGGTAGTGAATATCTGCCATTTTGTTCTCTATAGGCTCGGTACCTATGGAGATAAGAGCTTCAAAATCCATGCTAAGTAACAATTCAGTGATCAGCTTAGCAATCACAAGTCTTCCAGATTAATTTCTGATGTCTCTTGCTGCCACTTTCTAGGTTCACAAATTCTTTTTAGTTGATCTAACCCAGGTGAAATTTAGTGCACTACGTTCTATCTGCTACTCTATGAATTAATATAAGGCAGTGTCTCCTGCTTACAGGTAGTCCTTGACCTATGGCAATAACAGCCTGCCCATTACGGTTGCACGTGGTGACGGCCATTAAGTGAGACAGGCTCACTTAATGATCTCCACCCCTTGCTCTCCCTGATATAGTTGTTAAATGAATTTACAGGTCGTTAGAGTTTGGGGTGCCTCAAGGATGCAATAGATCCTGGGAGGCCTAGTACAGTCCCAGGCCTGCCTGTCCTGGCCCTCCCAAGGCCTCCGCCACCTCTTGAAACACCCTATGATCCACTTCCTTCCTCTTGGGGTCTCCACATCCCTTGGACTGCTTTCCCTACACACTAGATCCTGCAAGTGTTTCCCTCTCCATAGAGGCCACACAGAGCTTGAACCTTCTTCCCATTTCCTGTCTCCCATCATGCACTTACCTTTTGAAGATATCTGGAGTTCTAGAACTTTCCTTAGCACTGTGCAGACCTTATCAAGGAAACAGACAGGAGTGGTCCTTGGGCCAAGTAGTAACCTCCCAGAAGTGGCCACCATTGTGGTGCAACTACAAGGAATTGTGGGCATGCTAAATATGGTGATTGTTTTCGGGAGGCAGCCATGTGGTCCAAGGATGAGTTGCCTGCTCTCCTTTCTCAACATGAGATCCAGAGATCATCAAAAGATAACTGTGTGATGGATGATGGGATGGGGTGAGATGGGAGCAGGCCCAAGGCCTGCAGGGACTTAGTGTAGAGGAAAGAGAATGGTGGTTTCTGCATTCTCCCTGCAATCAGTCATAAGGACACATGACGAGGCATTTGAGTGGCTGTAACTTCAAAACAGGATTGTAAATAGCTTTTGGGAGATCTGTTGCAATTTTTAATGGCTGCTAAGTGATAGGTTGTTAAGCAAGGACTACCTGTAAAAGAGCCGAGGTAGCACAGCAGTTAGAGTGCAGTACTGCAGGCCACTTTAGCTGACTGTGTTCAGCAGGTCAGCGGTTCAAATCTCATCGGCTCAAGGTTGACTCAGCCTTCCATCCTTCCGGGGTAGGTAAAATGAGGACCCAGATTGTTGGGGGCAATGTAAATATATATATACATTGCTTACTGGTGTACACCGCTTAGAGAGTGCTTGCACTTAAACTGGTATATAAGTCTCATAAATAAATAAATAAATAAATAAATAAATAAATAAATAAATAAATAAATAATGAGCAAAGAAAGTGTCATGTAAAGAACTGCATTTCCAGCAATGCAGTTAAGACATCTGGGTTTTTTTTTAAGTAAATGTAGAACTAGATATTTTCTTATGTTTGGCAACTATGGGGTAAACCTTAATTGGTGTGTACTACTATTTTACACACAAATATGTCAATCAATATGCAACAACCCAGGATAAAAAAACATTAAAATCTGACACTAAATTACATTTTGAGATAGCTTACTTTGAACTTTAAATAAGCAATTACGTTCCAATAGATTCACTCAGTAATCATCTTTAAACAGCTACCCTCAACAGCTACAAGAGTAGGAGATCCCACCTGCATGTGGCATTGTTGTTCAAGTCAAAAGATTTAGGGGCGTAGGCCAGGGTGAAGTCAATGTAGCCCTGTAGATTGCTAGCACGAGTGTACTGGTAATAGAGTCGAGGAAGAAAGTCAGAAGTGAAGGCAATCAGGAAGGCCTAAAAGAAGAACATGTTCATTGTTTTAAGTGTTGTGTGAGTGACACACAGAACTCTTGCTTCTTACTCTTGGCACAATATGCACTTATTTTCAGCAACAGTCATAGAAACACAAGCAGCCTCATTCTACCCCAGATCATTAAGCATCTAGTTCACTGCTTCTTACATAGCCCAACCTAGTGCTCACTTCCTATATCGGGACCAAATACTAGAATTTCCATTCAGAATATCCAACAGGAATTTTGGGACTGTAGAGAGACACTAAGAGGCACTTCTGCCTCTCAGAGCACCCTCTCACCAGGAAATCTGCTCACTCAACTCCACCTTTCTCCAACAACCAACCAACCAACCAACTAACCCATTCCACAATGATACATTTTATCGGTAACCTGCAGCCCCTTTCCTTTACCACTTAGCTATTTCAATAACTCTTTATTTGGAACTGTAAGCCAATTCTGTCACCAAGAGTTCACCTTAAATCCTCATCTGCTTTGGGAACAGGAAACTACAACATAAGTAAACTCAATTAAAATATGGTTGAACTGTAAGTTTGGTGTAATCGAATAGGGCTGTAGCTGCTATGCTTGTCCAATTTCTATTGATTGCTTACCATATATTCTAGTATAACTCACATTGCTAATAACTGCAAAGTGTGTGATGACCTCCAGGATATGAAACCAGATGCCAATGCCTTGGGCCCGCTCTGCAACTGGACGTCGATATTCACAAACAAACTTCTGAGCATCCAAACGAATTTCCGCCCAGTTGTTCAGTAAAGCAAAAAGAGGGGCCAGAGGGCAGGCAGCAACAAAGATTGTAATGAAGCCAAACTGCAGAACTAAAAGGGAATAAAACATTTTAATTTCTAGAGTTTGAGGAAAGAAACCTTATCAAGAAGTAATTTGGAGGGGATCAAGATGAGATTCCAGCCAAAGCAGGACTGAAATGTACTTTCTGAAGCCCCATGTAGTAATTGTTATTTTTTCACTAAAATGCATCCACTTTAATTTGGATAAAAATGAAAGACCTTTCATTTCATATATTTTAAGCTGTTTGGCGAACCTATAATACAGAGGTGTTCAGCTCAAAGAAATTCTATACACTGCCTTTAATATTCACATTTATTGCTTGAAAATATTGGAAAAACTAATAGGGCACGGATGTCAAATTCACGATATATAGCAACTTTTTTAGCATTGCTGGAGCTGGGGTGAACGCGGCCTCCACATGATGCAACCAACCAGTGGGCTGGCAGTTTGACAGCCCTATAACAGGGCTTTTCAGTCTCTCACATCACTTTTTCATTTGTTCGAGTTATAAATTCCAAGTCTTACTGCATAAAGATTAGGGAAATTCATGAGACTTCAGAAAGAAATTTTCATATTCCCCTCCCTAATTTCTCCCTCTATCCTAGGGCTTTTTTTCCTCACTGTTCTTCTAATCCTTGTATTTTCAATCTCTCCAAGAATACACATATTCATTCCGTTTCCATAATCAGGCCACAGTATTAGAAATTTTCAGAGAACTATCTTAAGTTTCCATTTTCCCAGATGACTCATACCCATTTCCAGATATTCAGCAAAGAGCCCATCATAGGGCAGCAGTTTATAATCGCTCTCCCAGAGTTGCTTCATGAAGTTGTCTTGGCCTGCCTTATTGCTTTCAGAAAGATCTTGCTTATGCCACCATGTTTTCATCTTCCTATGGAGAACAAAAAAAATGTAGTTACTAGAATAGAAGAATAAAATATTCTTTATTGGCAAAGTATGATTGGACACACAAGAAATTTGTCTCGAATGCATAAGCTCTCAATGTACACAAACAACAAAGCGATAAGTCATATGTCATAAATCATAGTCACAATCATAAATCATAAGATACAAACAAGTGATAAATCATAAGATACCGAGAGGAGAAGATAGTAGGAAAGATAAAGAGATGAGAAAGATAAGAATATGTGAAGAATAATAGCAATATGGCCCTACTACATGGGTAAATATTTTTAGGCATAAGACAGACAGACAATATCAAGGATTTTTCAGGCACAGAGAGATGGATTAAATAATATCTGGATGCATCTAGATAAGGCATATTTTTATTTGTGCCCCATTATTTAGCCATAGGATAGTTTTTTGAGCTTGGTGTCCTCTGAGAATTGATTCATAATCATCTCACAGCCCACAGGTTATTGTTGTGGGAAAATAGGAGAAGCAAGGAGTATTAGATATGTTTGCCATGTTTGAATTATTTCTAAAAATAATATAAGCAGGATAAAAATAATCTTTTAAAAATTCTAATAGTAGTAGTGGTGCTTCAGTTTTATGGGGGCCTGGACAAGTGTATTCCAAGGACTTGTCCTACAAATCTCACTCATCAAACTAGTTCATTTTCTTTCTCTCTACCATGAGCTTGCCACCTTAGCGCCTATCTTAGTGCCTCTGTTAGGTCTTGAATATCTGACACGATTCAGATCTAGTAGCATCACTAGATGGGAACTGTGACCATTCTTTAGGTCAATATTAGGGTTTCTGAGTACATTCATGAGCTTGGACTTAACACAGATGCACAATAGAAAAACAACAGCAGCAATAGCAGTTCTCTCTTTCTCTGATCTAGTGTAAGTGGATACAACTTTCTCTTGCCTTTTCCACATAAAGTCTCCATCATGACCTGGCAGTGATAACATGGAATCTTAGAAACAATATTTTTGTAGTGATACTGTAATAATTATTATGTGGTAGCAGTGGAGTCATGCAGGTTAAAGCAGCTATGGAAAAACTTGTAATGCTAGGCAAAGTGAATTGAAAAAGAAGAGTCCAAGAGTGCATGAGTTGGCTAAATAGAGTACTGGAGGCTAAAGGAATACATCCATGATGCAAGAATTGTATAATATGGCAAGAGACACAATGGTGGGATTCAGCCGGTTCACACCAGTTTGGCAGAACTAGTAGCTAAATTTTTTTCAGTTCAGAGAACCGGTTGGAGGAGGCCTCCAGGCCTAGAATGGCCCACCAGAAGTGTGTAGATGCCACTTCCAGAAATCCGTTCTAGGCCTTGGATGCCCAGGCCTGCATCCACACAGAGAACTAGTTGTTCAGGTATTTGAAACCCACCATTGAAGAGACAGGATAGCTTTTATCCACATAGTTACAAGAATAGATACAGCTCAATAGAACAGAAGAAATGTAACATCACTGGAATTGATGCAAAAGGAACAATCCTTAAGTTAATGCTGGAATGGCTGCAACCTGCTGGCAATACTAAAATGACAACAGAAAGAGGTACATCCAAATCGTAGAGTGTTGGGAGGAATGCCATCTAAAATACTGACAAAAGCTGAATGTGATGTTTAACACAATATAATTGTTACAATGTCAAGGGCCTGTATGGATGGGTACATTTTTCCCAGACAGAATCCTCATTCATCTTCATCAGATAAATCAGCAGATATTCTAGACTTAAAGCTAGTTGGTACAGTGGGTCAATACTGGAAGAAGGACTCTCTGCCTTCTTTAGAAGAAGGTTTCTAATTTAGCAGAAATGGCTAAAATTTCTGCTTATTTAAAGGATCATTCACAAGAGAGAGATGTTATTGTATGGAGAAGATGGATAGAATATGTTCAGAAGAAATATGGAACTACAAAGTTTCATTTATTTTATGAGTAATGGATTTGTTTATAAAATTATGATGTTAAAGTTTCAAGAGTTAAGGGTTAGTATGATTTTGGTTATTGTATAATTAGTAAACTTAAATAGATTATGTTTAATATGTTTGTATAACCCTGTACTTGGCTCTGGGAAGTCGGGTGGGGGTGGGGGGAGGGGGCGGGGGGAGGATGGGTTGAAGGTTAAATAGCTCAGATAAGTAGAGATAGTTTTATTGTATATAATATTGATGTTTTAATTTGGAGAGAGGAATTGCTTAAGCATTTCCCCTGGACTGCATCTGGAGTGAGAAGACAGGAGGAAGGGGAGAAGTAAGTAGGAAAGTTGAGGAGAAGGAGGAGAGGGGGAGAGTGAGGAAGAAGAGGAAAAGAGGGAAGTGAGAGAAGAGGTTAGAGGGTGGATGCGGTTTGGGGGGAAATGAGTGAGCAATTTCGAAAGTTGTGTGTATAAATTTATTTTACTCTTTATCTGAAGTATTTTTTATGAATGTAATGTAAAATTGAAAATAACATTTAAAAAAAAAAGCTAGTTGGTACCCAAAACAGATGTTAACTTTTATTGCTGGGTTTCAACATTTTCAATAAAGCAATGAATTGTACTTGGAGATCCATGAGAGAGAAAAAAGACCTTGGAACACTGGTGAATAACATACCGTATTTTCTGGCGTATAAGACGACTGGGCGTATAAGACAACCCCCAACTTTTGAAAAGATTTTCATGGTTTTAGCAAGTCATCTTTTACACCAGAAAATACGGGTACTTTAACTTTCTAATAAAAGTAAGGTAAGTCCTAAACACATTAGCATTTCATTATATTTCATCGCTTGTTCCTGATCTGCTGAAGAAAAATGTAGCTGAGTAACATCCCATAATAAGCATGGGGGTGCACTTATGAAGCTTTGCAGTATATGAGGAGGACTAAAGGATAGCGGGAAGCAGAAGGGGGGAGGAAAGCAGGTCGCGGCGCTATCCAAGCCCAGCTGTCCAACAGGTAGAGACATTGGATCCATTTTCTCCAAATGGATCTGAAAACACCCTCTACTCCCACTTGCCCGACCCCCAAGGCTGCCCACACTGGGTGGGGCTGGCAAAGGCGGCGCATCCTAAAGTCCGTCGGTGGAGGCGCCTGCCAGACCATGGGCGGATCGCTCTATCATCTACGCAGCAAGAGCACCAGCCACGGCAGCAGGTTGCCAAAGAAGCGGCCAAGCACGGAGGAGGAAATGCTGAGCGTCTGTCTGTTGAGGTCCCAGAGCTTCTGGCACTCAGCGCAATGGCACTGGGTGTGGTCAACCCCGAAGAAGCGGCACCCTCTGCGCAGGCGCCGGCTCCCACCAGCTGCTCCTGCCAGCCACCCGAGCAGAGGCTGGTGGCGGGGGTGTTTCCCCGGGGGAGGAAAAGCCCCGCTCGCACCGCTTCCCTCCACTGCCCTAGACTGGGAGGGGCAGGATCCCTGCCCGGGGGGTAGACACTTCTGCGAAATCGCTGGCCTTCTGCGAGCACTGAGTAGCACTTCGGCACCAAGGGAAGCTCCCGCTGCTGACCCAACACGGGCATTCTTACTCGGCTAGCTCTCCGCCAGCGCTCCTCTCCTGCCATTGGTCTGCCAACGCTCCAACCTCACCCCTTCCTCCCGGCTGTTTCTTGGAGGGACACTTTTCTAGGGCTATTTGGCTGCGTGGGACTCTTAAACTCTCATCCGGACAGCCAATCCCCGCGCCAAGGGGTGAGGAGCATGGGGTGCAGGATAAGGGGGAGCTTGCTTTGATGTATCATATTTTCCAGCGTATAAGACGACTGGGCGTATAAAAACGACCCCCAACTTTTGAGAAGATTTTCATGGTTTAGAAAGTCATCTTATACGCCAGAAAATACGGTATTTGGTAAATGCAATCTATCTCTATTCTCTATCAGATAGCTCTGAGGGGCAATTTGAGTCACTTCTTCAGGGTCTTACAACTATCTCAATTAGAAATGAGACATTATGCAACAAAAGTGCAAAAGGGAGCAACTGCATTGGAACTCTAATGGTCAGGTAAGGGGAAATTTATTGCCTAGCAGCCTGACTGTTAAGAAAGTCAAAATCTGTCTATAAAACAGGGATCTATTCTGATGCTATTCTGACAATTCCAAAAGTTTTCTAAGAGCAAAATATTTTGCACAACTCTGCTGTAGGCACATATTCAAAAATAATTATGTCTTGGCAAAAATGCAAAACATTATTTTGTGAAACAATTGTAATTGCCAAAGAAACTAGGGAGTGGCTTCTCTTTTCCCACACTTGCATTTCTTACAAAAAAATTTGCTAGATTTTACAGGGTTGTGACTTCAGGCAGTTGCCAAGCCTCTTTTTGTATCTCCCGCATTCCTCTCCAGCTTCATTTCCGAAATTCAGTAGCTTGATTGCCAAAAATCAAGGGTGGAGTTTCTTGACATTTTAAGGCAAAAGATAATATAAAAATTATAAACTAAGTCTAAAACAGCCTTAAGAGAGAGCATTTCCACACAAGTTTTCAGACAAGTTTTCTTAATACTATAGTCCTCCTTTGATCAAGCCTAGCAGCTACAAAAAATGGCAAATCTGTTCTCATTCTTCTCTTGCTGGGTTTGTTTTTTTAGAATGGGTTAAAAAAAAAGAGCACCAACTCCTACACTGTGGAAATGAAATGGCAAAGTCTTCTCTCAGAACAACTGGATATGGACAACAAATGTACAATTATGCTTTCACTATAGAAATGAATGAAAAAATCCCCAGAATGGGAAGAAGGATGAGGCAAAAATTCTTTTCATCTATGCCTGCTCTATAGTTCTAAGGAAATGTTGGCAAAACTATCTTTGCAATGTTTCATACAGAGCAGGAGTTGAGACAGTCCTTAATTGTTTCAGCTTCCCAGGAACCATTAAGGCCCATGATTACATATGGAAGGAACTGGAAGTTGTTGGGTTTTTTAAAAAAGAAAATTAGAAATGAAATCCCTTCTCTTGCACAATGATGCAGCACCAATTTATTGCAAAGCTGTAGCCTCCATTGCAGCCCCAGTTTGCCCACCGGTTTTGTACAAGCACATTGATTGGAATGAATAGATAGCAAAAGTATCTAATCAAAGCATAGCACTCACGGGATAAGGATTTCTTGAATGTTATTAATTACTTGCTTTCCTACCATGATGACAAGAAGTTCCTGAGCAAGTTCAATGAGGCAGCCACCTGGAGCACACTGGACAAAACAGAGAGAGACTTTTGGATATGGCTGGTTACCTAATGAACACTGAATACCTTTGTAGAAATCTTTAAAGTTTCATATGTAGCATGCAGTAGGTATCTATTATCAATCAGTCATGTACTGAAGCATCATGCAACATTATTGGAAGTGTTGAATAAAGGCCTCATTAATGCAATATATCTACCAGGAAGGAAAACTTGACCCAAACCAGAAAGCCTGAATACTTTCCCTCAAGATGTAACTTTCTACATAAGGAGACTATTTGTGACTGAGCAGCATTCAGCCATGCAATTCCTATTTGTGGGGTCCCAAGGTTATAACTTCTTCATTTTTGTTGAGAACTAGACTCAGTCCTCTCATTTCCTCAGGAAATACCACATACTACCATAATGGAATAATTACAAAGAAAAGGGAGATGTCTCATAAATTTTATAAACAAATAAATGAGGAGTTATTAAGAAGAGAACTAACAATGAATATACTATTATAGTAAGGTTCTTTGATATAATAGGTAAACCTATGATGAGTTCATGCTTAGAAAGCTATGTACAGTTCAGGTCATCATAGGACTGTAAGGGCCATAAAAAGGCAATGAAAATGATAGAGGAAAACACATACTTTGAGATTTTTGCTTAAAATGAAGGCAAAATATGGTAGAGATATGTAAACCATTCCTGACCCAGCAAAAAGGGTCAGGCTGGAAAAAAAAGAAGTATTTTACACAATACATAACTAGTGAAATTCATGCCGATCAGATTCAGTGACTAACCAGCCCATTTATTATGGCTATATGCAGGCAGCATTCAAAGGCAACAAAACTATCTCCCTCTTATCCATGTAAACTTCTCAAATGCATCTGGTGAAACCCAGAACATTCTGGACTCTTCTAATATGTTTACAAATATGTTGTGGATATAGACAGAGCGTTCCTTTAAGCTCTAAAAAAGATACCTATTCCACTCCTTGGTGTGAGGCTAACACAGTCTATTTATCTCTGGACCGGTTGGGATCAGCCTGACTCTATTCCTTAATAATTATATATTTGTCACCTTGCAATTCAATCTACTTTGCATGGCTTGCCTAGGAATCTGCTGCTCTAAGGATTCCTCCACATTTTTTCATTCAAGAACCATCTTTTTCATCTCTTCTGAAATACTTACATCCTCATTGCGTATGCCCAATAATTTGTCATAGTGGCCTGGATAACCAACAAACCTGAAAGGGAAGAAGGAAAAGCACAAGGGCAAGAAATGAAAAAACTGTCTCTAGCTTTTTTTTAAACTGCTAGTTTAAACTCCTATTCCTACCGCCTCCCTCCAAGCAATTATCTTTAAAGACTATTAAGAGCCATTTTAGTGTAGTGATGAAGGCACAAAACTAGAAACTGGGAGACTGAATTCTATTCCTGCCTTAGGCATGGAGCTACTGGGTGACCTTGGGCCAGTAACTCTCTTTTAGCCCTAGGAAGAAGGCAATGACAAGCCAGTGTTGAAATCTTGCCAAGAAAATGGCAGAGATGTGTTCTGGTAGTTACCAGGTATCTACACTGGCTTAAAGTCACTCAGATACACAAATTGGTTTACTGCTGCTTGATTGAATGTAATGTTCAACTAGGGCCAAAGACATCACCATTCACAGCTTGTACTTCTGTAGTGATTCAGATCTATTGGGTTTAATTATTCATTTGTTGATTCCAGATGTTAATATATTTGTTAGATGCACCCTACCCTGTAATACCCATTTAAGATTTACATTATTATACTGTTTCTGAACAATAGATGGCAGACATTCTTCACTTTTCCCCATCTTTCTATGCTATTATGAAGAATCCTGTTGAATTACTGTTATGACATATTTAAGAACTTTTTTGAAATTATCCTCCCAGGTTAATAAAACCTCCAGTTTTCACTCAAGCAGCAAGCTCTGGGACAAGACCAAATCTACTTTTTCAGACACTTATAGAGATTGTGCTTGCACTATCAGTAGGTTCTGAAAAACTCTCAATGGTCCAGCATTCTGTAGGATGTGCTCCAAAGGATCAACTGGCTGGCAGGAATAAGAATGCTGCAGAGGAGACAAGTGCATTTTCTCTTTGGAGAGGTCAGAATTATTACCTTTAAGGCACATTATAGTGCAAAATCAAGATATATCAGGCATCATATTGCCAAAATTGAATATATATCCCTAATCTGGTTATTTAGAGAGAATCTGTTGTGTGTCCCCTTTCTGATCAGCTTTGTGGAACTTAAACCACATGTCAAGCCTTTTCAGTGGTGGTCCCCATTTAATGGAACACTCTCCTCTCCTCTCCAGGGTAAAATACCCTTTCAATGTATTTTGAAAAGATCAAAACAGCATTATTTCATCAGATGTTTGGCTAGGCTAATTTAATGGCGCCTCTGATATACAGTATTTGTGTTTTGTTTAAGATTTTTTACTGGTAACTCACACACACATACACACATATATGTGTATGTGTGTAGGTCAGTGACAGCGAACCTTTTAGAGACCGAGTGCCCAAACTGCAACCCAAAATCCACTTATGCATCGTCGGGTGCTGGGTGGGTGTGGCCCATTGGGTGGGTGTGGCCCATTGGGTAGGCATGGCATGGCAGACTGGGTGGGAGTAAAAAGTTCAGTCAATCAATTCCAACATTGCAAGATCTTTTTTTTCCCCGCGAGAAGTTGAAATTGACTGATTGATTGAACCTTTTATTTTTGTACACGGTGGCAGAGGCCTAAAGCGAAAAGGTTTTATAAAACCCAGCTGAAGGCCTAGGACTGGGGCAATGGCACACATGCCCACAGAGAGGGCTCTGAGTGCCGCCTCTGGCACCTGTGCCATAGGTTCGCCACCACTGGTGTAGGTGTAGGTATAGATATATATGTGTTAAAAAGTCTGTTGTATCCAAGATTGATTGTGTCAGGATTAGTATGAGTTATAAATACACCATACTGTACACAAGCACATATAATTCTGGTTATTTCCAATATATGAAAGATAGGCAATAAATTTACATTTTTGTAAGCTGCCCAGAGTCACTGAGAGTGAGTAAGCAGCCATATAATTTCTCTAAATTATTGCATCTCTTCATGCTCTGGAAAAATACCTACCAAACATAATCTTTTGAACTTAAATAAAACTTCTTTCCCTTTCTGCATCATATTAATAGTTATTCTACAGTCTTCCTGAACATAACCTTACCATGATGTATTGAACCTACAGCACCTATAAATCTAACTCTCATGTGCTACCTAGGATTATGGATATTGTAATCCAATTCATCTAGCTATCTATATCATCTTTCTATCTATCTTGTATTTCGTTTTAATAGATTTTTATGATTGTTTGCCACCAGTGACTTGTTTGAGAGGGATGGCTATAGAAATAAAATATAATAAATAAATAGATTTACCTGCCCTTAAAGAAAGCAATGTAGATGGGAGATGAATAGAAATTGATGAATTCAAAGATAAAGACTTTAAAAGTGAAGGCATCTTCAAATGTGGTCTGAGTGCGATGCATTTCTGTGGCAAAAAATGAACGTATCATTTAGAATAGTGTTTATCCTTCAAGTTTCTCTGAATGATTCCTTACTTTTGTCATCTATTCTTATGTGTCTTCATATCACTGAATGTACAGATAAATTGTGCATTGAAAATATTTCCATGTTATTATATATTATGGCTCAGTTGGCAAAGCAAGTTGGAATAAGTTGTGGTTAAAATTGTTTTTTACATTTTCTTTAAACCTTAAGTCTGACCTATTGGAGGAAAGGATGGGACATTCCCTTGATTTATGAAAGTTGAATGCAGATATCTTTCAAGATATACCTATACTCAAGTGGATGTTTTTGATATTAAGGATCCTAATTTAAAGTTTCCAGATGAAGCAACTATGAGGGGTTGGACACCATTAGTTCTGGGCAAGGACAAAATATCTGCATACTGCTACAATGATTATACGTGCAAAATGTATATATAATGCAGTTAAGAATTTAGCGTGGAGGTGACATTTTTTAAGAATTCAGCACCCAGAGAAAAATGTTTTGTCACAAATTATACTTTCTAACATAAGAACTATCAAATCTAGGCTGCAAAAGTCCATCTGATTAGAAGGTAATATCTAGATGTCTATCAGTCATCCAGGTCATGGTTGTCCCAAAAGTGCTTTTTCAAGAGGCAACTGGACTTTCTTGTTTTTCTTTGAAGACATTTCGCTTCTCATCCAAGAAGCTTCTTCAGCTCAGTGACTCTCTAAAGGAATGCAAATGACCAGCTGTCTGCTAGGAATATAAATCCTTCCATTCCCCACCATCCAGTCAGAGCTGAGGAAGCTTCTTGGATGAGAAGCGAAACGTCTTCAAAGAAAAACAAGGAAGTCCAGTTGCCTTTTGAAAAAGCACCTTTGGATTAATACCTAGAGTTAATCTTGAATTTTGCAGTTCGATTTGGTACCATATTGGCTCATTTTGCCAACATTCCAAGAAACAGATTAAGGGAGATAGATGATGTAAAATAATTGTAAACTTTCCCTGCTTGGCCACCACTAGCCAAACTACAAATGTTTTGGAGTGTCCAGAAATTGGGTATAAATTTCTAACAATTTATTGAATAATCCTGATGCTACTGAATAAATGACAGTGTAATTCTTTGAAATATGCTACAATTCTTTAATTTTTTCAAACTGGAAATTTACTGCATTATAGAAATTTTATTTTTGCTTTAAAGTTGTTGTTGATAAATGCATTTAATACAGGATTCAAGATGCCCTCATTTTCATTACATCTCCTTAGCCACCTTATTTCTATAAACAAAACCTAGTTTTATGTTCTATCTAGGAGCTAAAAGATAGAGCTGGAAGTGATGTTTTGCTTGATGTCCAAACCAATAGAATTTACTTACCCCACTTTGTAAGAAAAAGTGCCAGCGCAATGTAAATTTTCGAGAGGAGGAGGATGAAAAGGAGATTCACTACTGAGCCTGTCAGGCTGGCAATACGAGAAGCCTAGGAGGAAAAAAGGAGTTAAAATGCAAATGAAGTCTAATAGCAAAAGCCAGACTCAAGGGGATAGAGCATTCCTGTGCTGGCTCAGGAATTTTGGGAGTTGAAGTCCACGAGTCATAAAAGAACCAAGGTTGCCTACTCCTGGGATAGAGGCATACAGTTCCTTACCGAAGATACAAGTAGGACGTTCCCAGACCTGGATACAATTACTGAAATGATGGCCCGGTAAAGGATAATGGAAATCAGGAATATTATTACCACAGCAATCTGTAGACAAGCAGAAGAAGAATAATAATGTGCATTTGTTGTCTCACTATTGCAAATAATTAGTCACCATGGCCAGTTGGATTAAGTTGCCCCAATCTACTATTCTTCATATGTGCTGAAAATGAGTCCTACTGATAAAATATGGTGTGATAGATGGAGGAATGCTGAGTTGGGGAAGGTTAGATTTGAATTTGAAACAAAAAATGCTGATCTTCCTTAATATCCATATATGTTTCCTCTAAATAAGTAATTCATCTCTCTACGTAGATCCAAGATGTGAACACATATTAAGCCATAACAGATTTGTATTTAGCTTAGTGTTATTGTAAACACACATATGGCTTCCATTATATGTAAATCGAGCCATTGTCGTTTATTCAATAAACCATGGTTAACATGGCTTGGCATTATGTATCATTATGGTACTGACATTCTTTAAGCCAAGGTTAATTTTAACTATGGATTTTTAAATAAACCATAGTGGTTGGATTCACAAGTAACTTTATGCTTTAAAACATGTTTGTACCTTTGCTTAGTCCAAACCAGTCAAATTGTTAAATAATTTTTACTAAATATTGGGAAAGTGAAATTGTTCATTTGTCCATATATTTTCATAACCATAATTAATGGAAGTTATTAATAGCAAATAGAAAAACTGTAAATAACAGATGGTAAACTTTCTAACAGAAGAAATAATCCAGACTAAATATAGCCAAATAGGTTTTTATTACTTCAATAGAATCAAAGCTTGATGAATACTCTAGGACAGGCATGTCAAACTACTGGCCCGCGGGCCAGATGCATCATACTGGAACTGCGCCCACCCCATTGCCAGCAATGGGGAAAAAGTTGCGATATGTCATGCGACGTCACGTGATGTCACGAGTTTGACATGCCTGCTCTAGGAGAATAGCAGTTGGATTATTCGATTTCCTTCAGTGCTCTTATAAAATGCATGAAAATCAAGGGGTGGGGCATTAGGCTAATAGCACTTGTTCTCTGATCATGCCTCAGATACTCCCTTTGACTACAGTAGTTCAAGAGAATAGGGACATCTGCTAGATATTTAAGGTTTATATTATTTCTTTTACATACATTTTTTTAATAAAGGTTGCCCCCACAAGCTGCATAGGTGCCTTGCCTGAAAGAAGGTTGCTTTGCAAAATAAATTATGATTCAATTGGCATAGCAGAAGAAAGAGCTCATATCTTAGTCTACTTGGGGTTTCTGACCTCCCTCACCATAATGATGATGACCATTGATCCAGTGATGATTCTGTTGAATCGAGTCCGCTTTGGGAAATAGGGCTCCTCCTCTCCAGTAATTGGGTTTACAATTGTCATGGGAGCCAAAGCAGCAAACTGGGGTCGTGGACGTTCCTATAACAGGAGGAATATGAATATTCTATGCCAGTTTGGATTTTAAATTAGATTAGAAGGCCTCTAAATTCAGTACCTCAATATCCTCAAAATCTGAACAGTCCCAGCGGTATGTCAGGGTAGCATTCATTCGCTTCCAATACTCAAGAAATGTGACTGCCCACAGAGACATGAAGATGCTAAAGAAAACAGTGCCACCATGATCAAAGAGACGGCCAGCCTGGAGGAAAAAGGGAGGAATTGCTCTTATGTATGTGGCAAGATACCCAGATAGGGAAGAGAACTAAGTCAAGTGAGCAGAGCCGTGGCCGAATTCCCATGTTTTGTCAACACATTGTTTTAACCAAAAGCTTGCTGAATAGCTGTGTCCAATACACCAAGTAATTAAACCTGTTGTACAATGCTTACACAGTATGGCAAGTCATCTTGGCAACATGGGTGGCATAGAAATCTTATAATAAATAAATAATAAGAGGAATAAAATAAATAAGAGGAAAAATAACAGCTCTCAAAAGAAACCAGCATGGCTGCATAAAGAACTCTCTGACAAATTGAAAGATAAAAAGGACAAGTATAGAAAGTGGAAAGAGGGGAACATAACTAAGTCAGAATATCAGCAAATAGCCCGAGCCTGCAAAGATGAAGTGAAGAAAGCCAAGGCTCAAAATGAACTGAGGCTTGCGACCAAAGTCAAAAATAACAAAAAAAGCTTCTTTCAACATGTAAAAAACAAGAAAAAAGTGAAGGAAATGATTGGTCCATTAGTGGGTGGAAGTGGCAAGAAGGTGACAAGCAACAGGGAGAAAGCAGAACTATTTAACTCATTTTTTGCATCTGTCTTTACACAAAGGGAAAAAACAGACCAACCTATCAAAAATAGTGCCACAAAAAACAAAACAGAAACACAAGTTAAGATAGGCAAGAAAATCGTTAGTGAGCACCTGTCCAGCCTAGATGAGTTTAAATCGCCAGGACCAGACGGATTACACCCCAGAGTTCTCAAGGAACTGGCAGATGTGATATCGGAGCCACTGAACTATATTTTTCAAAGATCCTGGAACACAGGGGAACTACCAGAGGACTGGAAAAGAGCTGATGTAGTTCCCATCCTCAAAAAAGGAAAAAAAATGGATCCAGGAAATTACAGACCTATCAGCCTGACCTCAATACCTGGGAAGATCCTGGAAAAGATAATCAAACAACGAATCAACGAACACCTAGAGGCAAACAAAGTCATTACTAAAAGCCAACATGGGTTTGTCAAAAATAGATCATGCCAGACAAATCTTATTGCATTCTTTGACCAAGTGACAAAATTAGTGGATCAGAGGAATGCTGTGGACATAATTTACTTGGACTTCAGTAAGGCATTTGATAAAGTAGATCACAACCTACTACTTGACAAGATAGAAAAATGTGGGGTAGACAGAACCACCACCAGATGGATCCGTAGCTGGCTGACCGGCCGTACTCAGCGAGTGGTCCTCAATGGAACTGCATCTATATGGAGGGAAGTGTGTAGTGGGGTGCCCCAGGGCTCTGTTCTGGGCCCAGTACTCTTCAACATCTTCATCAACGATTTGGATGAAGGGATAGATGGGGAACTCATCAAATTTGCAGACGACACCAAGCTGGCAGGAATAGCCAACACTCCAGAAGACAGGCTTCAGATACAGAAGGATCTGGACAGACTTGAACACTGGGCACTAACTAACAAAATGAAATTCAATGGTGAAAAAAGCAAGGTTCTACATTTAGGCAAGAAAAACCAAATGCACAAGTACAGCATAGGTGGCACCATGCTCAATAGTAGTAACTGTGAGAGGGACCTCGGAGTCCTAGTAGACAATCACTTAAATATGAGCCAGCAGTGTGCTGCAGCTGCCAAAAAGGCCAACACAGTGCTAGGCTGCATTAACAGAGGGATAGAATCAAGATCACGTGAAGTATTAATACCACTCTTCAATGCCTTGGTAAGGCCACACTTGGAATACTGCATCCAGTTTTGGTCACCACGATGTAAAAAAGATGTTGAGACTCTAGAAAGAGTACAGAGAAGAGCAACAAAGATGATTAGGGGACTGGAGGCTAAAACATATAAGGAACGGTTGCTAGAATTGGGTATGTCTAGTTTAACGAAGAGAAGGACAAGGGGGGACATGATAGCAGTATTCCAATATCTCAGGGGCTGCCATAAAGAAGAGGGAATTAAGCTATTTTCCAAAGCACCTGAAGGCAGGACAAGAAGCAACGGGTGGAAACTAATCAAGGAGAGAAGCAACCTAGAACTAAGGAGAAACTTCCTGACAGTGAGAACAATTAATCAGTGGAACAGCTTGCCTCCAGAAGCAGTAAATGCTCCAACACTGGAAGTTTTTAAGAAGAGACTGGACAGCCATTTGTCCGAAATGGTGTAGGGTTTCCTGCCCGAGCAGGGGGTTGGACTAGATGACCTCCAAGGTCCCTTCCAACTTTACTACTATTACTATAAATTACTATTACTAATGTTAAAAGTCCAAAACAAAGCCACATTATGGCATAGTTAATTGAATCTACTTAGTCTCTTGCTAACTATCACATATCTGTATTCCTTCAATTCTTTATTTCATACATACTCACTGAGCATGGGTTACAGAAATGGGCCTATAGCTGTTTGAAATTTAGCCTCTAAAACTACAAGTAAGCTAAATTGCCTTTGCAACAAAAATAGCTTGCAAGTTGCCAATGTCGCAACATATGCATATATTAGAATTGCTAAATAGATGGAACGTATATCATATTGTTTTAGAAGAGATAGCTAAAAGTATAAACTTTACATACTGCAAACTATTAACTTTATAAACAACTACCAATGACCAATCATTCAAAGAAGGGAGACTGGGGGAAAAAAAAGATTGAGCCACAAGAATATAGCTTAACTTAATTTCAAGCAACATATTAGAAAGAAATCAACTGAGGAAAGGATGTTTAAACAACTTCACATTAACAAAATTCTTGTGAGTTCTCAATAAGAAGATGAAGAGGGAAAGACATACAGGTTTGTTTACAGAGTGGCTATGCAACTTTAAAGAACTTGTAAAGATTGTATTTCTGCCTGAATAAGATAGGGGGATAACTGGTCTCACTTACAAAAAGAAACGCAGCAAGAGTGAATACAAAAATGACAGGTGAGTTAGTTTCGTAAGTATGACAGAGTTCTGACTGAAAGGTAGATAGATGTCAGTGATAAAAGTATGGGAATTGCAATGTGGTTTTATCCCAGAGAGAGTTCTTGTAGACCAGGTTTTTGTTCTTCGTCAGGTCAATAAGAAATATGTGAAGTTGATTATAAATTTGTTGATTTAGAGAAAGCATATGAACAAGTCATAACATTATAACCTCACCTGAAACATGGGGCAGACAGAAGATAGATTCCAATAAGGGCAGACTTTGCAAAGTGGACACATCTTATATTTGTCACCACTGGAACAGATCTCCTGTCTAGTTCAGAAGGAGAGAAAAGAAAAGTGGGGAAAAATAATTAATATGGTACCAGATTCCCTCCCCCAGAACTTTTCTATTGGTTTTGCTTACTGGGTTTCATTTCTTTAGGGGTTGGGGTTTTGTTTTGTTTTTTAAATCATTCTCTGACTCTAATGTGCTGTTGAAAGTCTTGGGGGTGAAATGTTAGAAATCTATAGGTCTGTCATTTACAAATTGAGGAACATATTTAAGCAAAGGATGACTGATTAGTCAGTCATGCTGCTTGATGGAAAAGGCTGCTATATAAGTTGTCTAAACACCTTCTAAAAACAAGATAAAAAAAGGAAAGTTTACCACTTACGTTGGAATGTCATGAAACATCAGAAAAATGCCAATTATGAAGACTAGTGTCCCCACTACAGCTGCTGGAAGAAGCCATGCTGTGTAGAAACCTAAAGGAAGAGAGGCAACAGCATACTCATACTCAGCAGAACCCATGCTGCCCCACCCACTGTGATTGAGAACTATCAGCCTGCTCTCCAGAAAATCTAAGTCCAGTTTGTGATATTTTGCAAAACAGCAAAAACCAAATAACAGATCACAGATGTTACAACTCGGGGGGGGGGGTGGTTGTTAATAGCAAGTTAGTGAACAAGTTTCTGACAACCAGACTGGTTCCTAGCAATAGTATAGAAAAATGAGAGAGAAATAGCACCACAGTGAGATGGGTGACAGATAAATTAAACAAACAAATATATAATAACTCTGCCTGTGGAGCAAGTAAACACATTTAAAGATAACTTTATTCACAGGGGGAAAAGAAACAAAGCATCTACATAATTTCAAAAGTCAGGAAGCTATGGATCCATTGAAAGAGTATGTACTCACCAAGCCAGGCAAAGTAGAGAGCAATCTTCTCTCCAAAGTACCTGCGGATATGATTCAAAGGCTGGTATTTTTTCCATTTACTCCACTTGGCCCAATAATGGAAAAGAATCTGCCTCTGATTAAGTAGACTAGTGGGCTCTTCTTCTGATGACATCTTGTATGGGCCCTTTGGCAGAGAATGATATTATCCACATAAAATACAAATCTGTATAGTGTGTGTTGCTTTTTACATGAACTCTCTTACACAGTGTAAATACTTTATAAAATGCAATAATTAATACTGATAGCCATTACTTATTAAAACTATAATCATAATTAGATATAATACTTAGGAATACATACATTATACTTCTTAAACTTTTACTTGTAACTTTTTTTTAACAAAGATGACACAACAAGATGTTTAGGGTGTCATGTCAACATTCACCAAAACCTGACAACTACTCTCAAAAGCACACCCCATTCTTGCCCAATTTTCGAAGGCTGAGGGTCTGTTCTGCTACAGCCAGCCACGTGGCCTCTGGAACCTCCAAAAATTGTGTGAGAGTGGGGCATGCTTTTGTGTAATTTTTGGAAGCTGCAAAAGTTGTGCTAGAGTGGGATGTGCTTTTGTGCTGCCTCCCTACCCTCCAGAACTCATGTGGCCCCAGACCCTCCAAATATCATGCAAAAATAATGTGCTTTTGTACGGTGTTCAGAGGCTGCAGAGGCCACAGAAGTTTCTTTGAAGTTGCTTCAAGGAGAAAGCCTTGTGGGATGTAGAGCAGCCTTGGATAGGCCACAGAGGCCTGTCAATAGAAAGAGAACCCTGCCTGAAGGTAAGCAGTACATGGGAGATCCTGGGGAATGGCAGGCCATGGGGCAATTGCGCCACTCCCCAAGGCTCATGCACATTAGGGAATAGTGCAAGGCAGCCTTTTGGAGTGGCAATAGTAGTGCTAGAGCTGAAGTAAGGGCCTAGTCTCTACTTCAGGCCCAGCCTTGGTGTTGCTGCTGAGTGTGGCCTAGATTGGGGGGGGGGGAAGAGAGAGAATTGTTTCTCTTTTATTAGGAGGTGAGGTATGACATAACAGCAGAATCAAATTAGTCATTTTCTGAATGTGTGATACTCCGAGTGCAAAAGATCTACCATTACTCTTCAATGCTCACTGGCTTTGTCTCATTAAACTGAAGATATAAAACTGTCCCAAATCACTAACACTTAAACTATTATGTTAGTCTGGAAAGTAACTAGATGGTAAGTTACTTCAGGTTTCTCAAAAGATACTTTCAATACAAGTGCTGCCAATCTGATTAAGGAGTTCCTATCTGAGAGAGGACTGGGAACGATGCTTGCAAACTTACGTCATGTAGTGGAAATGCTGCTGTGAAGACTTCCTCATTCAGCAGCCTTTCTATTCCAACCTGCCCTGCATTTGGATTGCCATATGATATAGTAGACAGGATCTCATACAGCTGAAGAAAAGCAAAGAAGAGTTAAAGGAAGCCGTACTTCAATTTCCACAGTTAAAGCAACATCACCCACATTACACATTTTAAAGTCTGAAGACAGAGCTCCAATAGCAGCCCTTAATTATACTTCTTAACATTAACATACAGCATTATGATTAGTTACACATATATACACATGTTACCCTGCATTTGTTTCACTCTGGGCTTACTATTCTATGCCGTTGTGTACTACTGAAGAAGGTCTCATGGTCATCACTCCCACGGAACCTGGGAGAAATAAAACCACTGATAAATTACCAGACATAAAAAAGAAGCTATATAAAAGAGAGATTGCGATAACACCTAGCATGAAGCTATATTTGCCTTAACTATGGTTAATGACATTACACATAATGTTAAACTATAAAGCTATGTGCAACTATAAATTTTTCACATATTGCTGTTCAAAACATGTTGCCTGCTACAAAGTATGATTCTAGTCTTACTGATGAATATAATACCCTGTTTCCTCTCCATTTTTTCTTCCAATGTCCTCATTTTTTTGTATAAATTTTACTAGTTTTTATAGGGTTAGGAATGAGGTGGGATCAGGATTGGAGTTGGGATTTGGGTTAGGGTTAGGATTAGGGTTGGGTTTAGGCTCTTTCCAAATAACATTCTCAATATTTAGCAAACAGCATAATGTCTGGGTTCATGTCATAAACAATATGTTAATTAATCGCTCGATAGTCTTCTTCTTCTTAATATATATTCAAAGTTATATATCACATTCCTTTCTCTTTAACTCATGTTTCTAGCCATTGATAGAAATTATCCCATATTCTAAAATACACTGTCTTCTTTCTCTTTTATCTTTAAAGTCAATCTGTCCATTTCTGCACATTCTAAAATTTTCTTAATTAATACTTCTTCAGTTGGTAAATTTTCATTTTTCCAATTCTTGCTGCAGTTAATATGTATAGAATTAAACATATACAATCTTTCTCATAATTTGCTCCTATTATTCCTGACAAAAATAATTGTGACTTAAAGTCTATTTGTTTTTTAGTCATTTTCTCCAACCATAAATGTATTTTTACCCAAAATCTTTTTGCTTTAGGGCATGTCCACCAGATATGATAGTAAGTACCTGGTCTTTGGTTGCATTTCCAACACTTATTTGAAGTATTTTAAAACATTTTTGCTAATCTCACTGGTGTCATATGCCACCTGTAAAACATTTTATATATGTTTTCTTTATATGCCACTGCTTTAATTAATTTAACATTTCTTTCCCATAACTTTTGCCAGTCTTCTAATTCTATATTATATCCAAAGTTCTTTGCCCATATTATTCTTTGCCAATATTATCATCATGTCCACATTTTTTAGCTGAGAACAGAAATAAACTAGGAAAATGCATGGCCCTTGATTGCTTCAGAAAACAATATGATGGTTAAATCATGCTAATTTCATAAACCTCTAAGCTGTGGATCTACAGTACAGTTAAGTGCGAAAAATAAAAAGCTGTCTTGGGATAGGCTTGTACCTCATGCTAAGTGATAAGCAAACAAACCATATTTAGTGTAATGTGCTAATCAGGCTGCTATAGATGTTGCTTGGCTATTTCTGGCACAGGTAGGAAAGCGCTGAATTCTGGAAGCCAATATACACAGCATGGAAAATTCTAGGAAAAATTTATAATTCTCTACTATGTCAAGAAAGCATTCAAGAATACTGGGTATTACTGTTGGTGGGACAGACATGCATGAAACAGAATAACAGGATTGGAAGAGACCTTGGAAGTCTTCTAGTCCAACCCCCTGTTCAGGTAGGAAATCCTATACCATTTCAGACAAATGGTTATCCAATCTCTTCTTAAAAACCTCCAGTGTTGGAGCACCCACAACTTTTGGAGGCAAGTTGTTCCACTGATTAATTGTTCTATCAGGAAATTTCTCCTTAGTTCTAGGTTAGTTCTCTCCTTGATTAGTTCCCATCCATTGCTTCTTGTCTTCTTCTCTGCAACATTTATTATTGCTGCCTAATCTCAAGGGTAAGGGACTATGTTTATTTACCCCATCCCTGCAAAGTGTAAATATCCATGTAGACATTTGGAAGTCTCCTGCCTAATGAACACACTAAGAGCAGGCACATCTAAAAGGCACATGTAAAAAGGGCTTTTGTTTTAGACAATGGAAGAGATTATTGCACGTTGCTAATGTTCTTTTGAACTACATGGACTGGTGGAATCCGGGCACTTTGGAGGAGGAATCAGGGTATAAGGAATCCTGTATAATTAGAAGCTGTGATCTACAGGACAGACTGGCTGAGGCAGCATTTGGAAGGTACAAGCCAGATGTCAGTTGGGAAAAGTGCAAAAGTGCTAGAATTCCAAGCAGCCAAGAATTAATTTTCTTTCTTTCCTCCCCTCTAGGTTAAAAGCAACTCATAGAAGTAAAAGTACTGAAGCTGTTCAAGAATAATAAGCTTGTAGTCATGAATACCTATATAAATCAGGATGCAAGGGGGAGATACATTTATGAAAAGATAAAAAGTCCCATATAAAATTGTATGTATAATCTGTTCAGATCACTGTATATAATAGAAATCATCCCAAATTATTTATTATTATTAAAAAGCACTATAATATTAAACATCACTGTACAAATTGTGGAGATTTTGCAGTGATGTATTGAAAAATCTTTAGCTTCGCAAAATGCTGCTGAGCTCCTAAAAAGGATGAAGCATGAAATGTGAGTTTTTCTGATAAAAGTATTTGCAAGAGACAGATTGATTTTCCTTTATATAACTAGACTGATGCTCGGCATGACTTCCTTTTGAGAAAAGAGCAAATATTGGGATATTTGTAACATTAGGCAATGTTACTGTTGTAATCTAATTATAATGAAATAGGGGATAATAACTGTAAGCTTGGAAAAATCAGTATAGTTTAAAAAGAGGAAAGATAAAAGAAAGAAAATTCATACCAAAATCTTACCAGCGTAACTTGTTTGCTTTAAAATGACAGGTGTAGTTATCCAAGGGAATGTCAGGAACGTCATCATAGAGTAAATTAGGGATGCCCAGTTTCATCAGAATCCTGTGAGACCAGTTGACTTCAGGGTCAATGGGCATAGCCTGGGATACAGTAAAAGAAATATACTAAACAAGAGGCCTCTTTTTCTGTAGTCTCTTTCTCTCTCTCTCTCTCACACACACACACACATACACACAGAGAGAGACAGAGATTGGAAATCAAAATTATTAAATTTATGAACAAAAGCATAACATAAAAAAGAAGGGAGAGTTTCTGATATAGTTCCCTTTACTCCACCTCAATCTTTTAAATATATATAATTTATTTTTACACTCACACATAAAAATGTTCAGTGCACGAATCACAGAAAATAGACATTAGAGATTAGTGAAGAGCTGTTTGTTCCAATAGAATGCTCATTTCTCATTTTATCAAAAGAAATAGCAATTAAAAACTATCACTGGAAAAATTAAAAGATGGGGAGAGGTGGGGTGAAGAGAAAAGGACAAGACAACTTGTTTCTTTCTATGCCTTTTTTCCTCCAATTTTCACAGTTTTTCCCCTGCATTCTTATTTGTTGAATCCACTGTTCATATACTCTACAAGTTGTTACTATCTTAGCTGGAATAGAAGAATGCTTAAGTCAATGCTATCCTATCTTCTAGAGAAAAATGCACAATATGACTTGCAAAGAATCAGAAAGAGTTTGCTAGCATCTTTACTAACATTTCCATTAAAAGATTTAAGATTGTGTGTGTGTGTGTGTATCTGTATGTATGTATGTATGTATGTATATATGTTTTCTGAGGTTTTCGCGGGTGTTTGTATGTAGGTCTTTGGTTGTTCGGGTTTTCTCCCGTGTAAAATTGGAAGTGTCTTGGCGACGTTTCGACGAAGTCCCATTCGTCATCTTCAGGCTGGTGTTTTCAGCTTCGTGCTTCGAGCAGCAATGTGTATATATATATATATATATATATATATATATATATATATATATATACACACACACATTGTATATATATATACAATGTGTATACACACACACACACACACACACACACACACACAGACACATATATTGTCAAAATAATGATCACCAAGAGAATATCTATCCAAAAATAGAATTTAATCCACCAAGTTTTCGTCAAATACATTTGACATCGTCAGGGTTAAAAGACAAATGCCCGGGGAAGTCTTATATACAGTTGTTTAATGCCTGTTTCCGGCTCCTGGAGCGTGTCATCGGCCCCAGCTGATCGAATTGAGTCCCAAGCACACCCCCCACATCAGCACCTATCCTCTTTGCATTGCTAATTTGCATTTTGTCATACGTTACTCCGTTAGCTGTTTCAGGGTTGGTCAGGTTGGAGGTCAGGTTGGAGGTCAGGATGTAAGTCTTTAGTTGTTCGGGTTTTCTCCCACGTAAAATTGGAAGTGTCTTGGCGACGTTTCGACGAAGTCCCATTCGTCATCTTCAGGCTGGTGTTTTCAGCTTCGTGCTTGCTCCTTGAAGCACGAAGCTGAAAACACCAGCCTGAAGATGACGAATGGGACTTCGTCGAAACGTCGCCAAGACACTTCCAATTTTACGTGGGAGAAAACCCGAACAACCAAAGACCTACATATATACATATATATATATATATATATATATATATATGGTTAAAAAGGTTAAAAATATGAACCCTGGGAGTATACATGGTGAAGAAATAAAATGAACACCAGGGTGATAAAAACTGTAAAAGTTTTTAATTAATTAAAACTATGAAAGTTTAATTAAAAGCGCCAAGCTTTCGCCGTCACCTGCCGGCATCTTCAGGGCTAGCGCGCCAGAGAATGAGGAAGTCCTTTATAGGCATGTCAAGGTTTGCGCCCGGCTCCTTGACCTTGTTATCGGGCCTGATTGATTCAATTGCGTATGGTTAACCTGTTTTTCCTTTCTCTTTTTGGTTGCATTTCTATCTTCATCCATCCTTATTTCTCTCAACCTTGGGGTGGTTGGGTGGCAACTCCAGTTGTTTCGGTTGTCTTTGCATTCTGACCTCCCCCCAGGTTCAGGTGGTAGTGCACATTCCACATTCCTTTCACAGCCATGTCCTACCCAATTGTTCCTTTTAAAGTAACTTTCCTTTTTAGTCCCAATACTTTCATTTTTGGTGCGCCCGTCATCCGGATGGTCTTGCGAGCTGTTACGAGTCAAATACGGCGTGGGGGGGTGTTCAGCAAGGTGGAGGGGTCGTTCCCTGGTCATCGCTATACCCAGCTGTCTTGCGCGTGTCCTGCTTCGGGTACTCGGTCCGGGGGGTGTGTGTGTGGTAGTCGAATCACGCTCCTTCTGGCTGTCATAACGTTTCTCTTCGGCTCTCCCCCTTTCTGCACTGTTGGTATTCGTGTGCATTCCATGGGAGTTCTCAGGATCATCGGGTAGGGGGCGTGACGGCTCAATCCCTCGCACTCCACCGCTCTCTGATCTTCTCCCCTCCTCTCCGGCGGTGCTCGGGGATTCGTCGTTGGCCATATCCCGTGATCTATCCCCCCTAAGTCCGATCGCTCTGGCTGCGCGAGGGGGTCTTCTCCTCCCTTCCGGACCGGCCACGATGTTTCTTTTGGCGCGCAGGCGAGCTGTTGCGTTTGGCGATTCCCCCGCGCCTCCACCTGCCGTATCCTCCTTCATCTCGTTCTCACTATCAGAACTCCAGATCTCAGTTTCCACCACCCCCCTAGTCCTCTGGGATTGCGGTAGCCTCACTGGGATGGTTGGGGTGTCCCGCAGTTGCCCTTCCTCCTCCGGATTGCACCAGGTCTGTTGGGCAATTTGCCCTTCCTCTTTGGTATCACCGGGATTATTATTAAGCCATCGGGGGTGTTGCCGCTGATTATTAATGCTCCATGATCTTAAAGCCACGTATGCCGGGCATAGGTCAACATGCCTGTTAATAGATCTATTATCCAAGAGCCATGCCTCCCTAAGTAGGCGGCCCCCTTTGGTGTTATCATTCGCCAATACGCTGACGCCACTGAAATTAAACCTATGGCCCAGATCTACCGTGTGTGCCCATATCTGGGAGTAACAATCTCCCCTTCTCACTGCCAATCTGTGTTCGTGGACCCTGGTCTTAATCCGTTTAGCAGTCTCCCCAATGTAATTGCACTGGCAGTCCATGCAATCAATCCTATAAACGGCTGCCGATCTTTCAGTGTTGGGAAGCAGGTCCTTGGGGCGCATTATAGCCGCCCGCAGTGTTTGGTTTGGTCTATGGGCTACCTGTATGTTATACGGTGCCAGGATCCTCGCTGTGGCTTCTGATAAATTATGAATATAGGGGAGGGTGATACGTGTAGTTGCCTGAGGTGTGGATTCTTGGGATGTAAGGTTATCCCGGGGTCCAGGTAGTTTACTGAACTGATTAATAAACTTTACCGGGTAACCATTACGTCTACACATTTGGAAGAGGTGGTTTCTCTCTTCCTTCTTGGCTCTGACGGTGCTGCAGTGTGTCTCCACCCATTTGAATAATGTCCTGACACAGCTGACTTTATGGGCCATCGGACGATTGCTCCCAAAGTGGAGAATCCTGTCCGTACATGTTGGTTTTCGGTACACCCTGGTAGCCAGACATCCATCCACCTGGCGCTGCACTAATACATCCAGGAATGCCAAACTGCCCTGAAAGGTGAAATAGGTGTTAAGGCATACCTTTCACCTTTCAGGGTACTATATATGAACAAATTAAAGGAACACCTATGGGGTCGCCGATCTCCAGTGTGGTTGCAGAGATAGTACTCCAACAGTTGGAACACATAGCGATGGCCCGGTATCAACCAAAATTCTGGGCCCGCTATGTGGACGATACGTTTGCGGTCATCAAGAAGCGACACAAGACTGACTTTATGGGCATTTTGAATTCGGTATACCCAGACATCCAATTTACTATGGAAGAGGAAGATCAGGGCAGTTTGGCATTCCTGGATGTATTAGTGCAGCGCCAGGTGGATAGATGTCTGGCTACCAGGGTGTACCGAAAACCAACATGTACGGACAGGATTCTCCACTTTGGGAGCAATCATCCGATGGCCCATAAAGTCAGCTGTGTCAGGACATTATTCAAACGGGTGGAGACACACTGCAGCACCGTCAGAGCCAAGAAGGAAGAGAGAAACCACCTCTTCCAAATGTGTAGACGTAATGGTTACCCGGTAAAGTTTATTAATCAGTTCAGTAAACTACCTGGACCCCGGGATAACCTTACATCCCAAGAATCCACACCTCAGGCAACTACACGCATCACCCTCCCCTATATTCATAATGTATCAGAAGCCACAGCGAGGATCCTGGCACCGTATAACATACAGGTAGCCCATAGACCAAACCAAACACTGCGGGCGGCTATAATGCGCCCCAAGGACCCGCTCCCCAACAGTGAAAGATCGGCAGCCATTTATAGGATTGATTGCATGGACTGCCAGTGCAATTACGTTGGGGAGACTGCTAAACGGATTAAGACCAGGGTCCACGAACACAGATTGGCAGTGAGAAGGGGAGATTGTTACTCCCAGATATGGGCACACACGGTAGATCTGGGCCATAGGTTTAATTTCAGTGGCGTCAGCGTATTGGCGAATGATAACACCAAAGGGGGCCGCCTACTTAGGGAGGCATGGCTCTCGGATAATAGATCTATTAACAGGCATGTTGACCTATGCCCGGCATACGTGGCTTTAAGATCATGGAGCATTAATAATCAGCGGCAACACCCCCGATGGCTTAATAATAATCCCGGTGATACCAAAGAGGAAGGGCAAATTGCCCAACAGACCTGGTGCAATCCGGAGGAGGAAGGGCAACTGCGGGACACCCCGACCATCCCAGTGAGGCTACCGCAATCCCAGAGGACTAGGGGGGTGGTGGAAACTGAGATCTGGAGTTCTGATAGTGAGAACGAGATGAAGGAGGATACGGCAGGTGGAGGCGCGGGGGAATCGCCAAACGCAACAGCTCGCCTGCGCGCCAAAAGAAACATCGTGGCCGGTCCGGAAGGGAGGAGAAGACCCCCTCGCGCAGCCAGAGCGATCGGATCTTAGGGGGGATAGATCACGGGAT